GAGAGCAGTCTGAGAGGTTAAGATGAAATGAACCTAGTCCAGAGACCTGAGCTCAGTTCCCAGCAGTCTCACCAGGAAGCTTCCTTTCTTTCATTTCATCTACAAAGGGATGACTCAGCTGACCTTCACAGGCACCTGAACATATTTGAGCAAGCCCACACATAAATACACACACACATAGGTAATTAAAATTAATAAAAATAATTCTTAAAAATATTTGCTGGTGGGAATGTATACTTGTACAACCACCTTGGAAATCAATCTGGTGCTTTCTCAGAAAAATTAGGAATAGTGCTACCTCAAGATCCAGCTATACCACTCCTGGGCATATATCTGAAAGATTTTAACTATACAACAAGGATATTTGCCCAACTATGTTTATAGCAGCTTTATTCATAATAGACAGAATCTGGGAACAACAAAGATGTCCCTCAACAGAGAAATGGATATAGAAATTGCAGTACATTTACACTATGGAATACTACTCAGCTATTAAAAACAAGGAAATCATGAAATTTGCAGGCAAATGTATAGAACTAGAAAAGACCATCCAAAGTGAAGCAACCCAGAAACAGAAAGACACACATGGTATATACTCACTTATAAGTGAGTATATTAGCTATATAACATAGGATAAAAATACTGAAATCTATAGTCCTAAAGATGCTAAACAACAAGGAGGACTCTAGGGTAGATGCCTAATTCTCATTCAGCAGGGCGAACAGGATAGACATCAGAAGTGGGACAAGACAAGGAACAGGACAGGGGCCTACCACAGAGAACCTCTGAAAGACTCTACCCACCAGAGTATGGAAGGAGATGCTGAGACTCATAGCCAAACTCTGGGCAGAGTGCAGGGAATCTCATGGACGAAGGGTGAGAGAGAAAGGCCTGGTTGGGACAGAAACTCCACAAAGAGATTAACAGAGCCAAAAAAATCCTGGGCCCTTAGGGGCCTGCAGGGACTGATGAATCAACCAAGGACCATGCATGGAGACAACCTAGACCCCTTGCTCAGATGTAGTCCATGGGCAGCTCAGTCTCCATATGGGTTCTCTAGTTGCCTGATCCTTGATCACTTCTCTCTGGTGGGGAAACTTAACCAGCCCACAGAGGAAGAGGATCCAGGCAGTCCTGATGGAACCTGATAGACGAGGGTCAGACAGTAAGGGAGGAAGAATTCTCCTATCAGTGGACTAGGGGAGACAGATAGGGAAGGAAGAGGGAGGGAGTGTAGGATGAGGAGAAGATGAGGGATGGGGCTACAACTAGGATACAAAGTGAATAAACAGTAAATAGTAATAATAATAACTAATAAATTTTGTAAAAAAAAAAAGAATTTTTCAGGATCTTGGCTCATCTAGGCAAGAAGTTATATTGGCAATTTATTTGCTCTTGAACTACAAAATTTATCTTTAAAAAATAGATATATAGTGTGTGTGTGTGTTTGTGATTTTGTGTGTGTATATGTTTATAAACATTTGTATCCAGGCATACAAAACCCGATGTGTCATTATAAAGGCCGGTAAAGTACTCAAGTGTGTTTTTCTCTAATTGCATCCATTAGAGGCTTACCTTATGAGCCTCCCTGAGTCTATATAATTTTCAGGGAGGTACTGTGTCTGATTTATCATGTAGCTTTGTCTCACAGGTCACACGCAGTAGGAACAAACACTTGTCAAACTAAAGAAATGACTTCTACTTACTGTCTCTTTTTCATCTCTTAACACCATTGGCAAAAGCAGCCTTCTTCCATTCATTATTTGTCTTTGATTTAGGCAACACCCTTCTCACTTTGCAGAAACTCTTTACACATAACCGAAGTGAGCAGTACTCATGTGTTTACCTAGGTCCATAGCTTTTTATCAGTCCCCATTCCCTTGAAATGTTTGAAAATATTAAGCACTTATCCACGCCTCATATTTGAAATTCCTTTTCTCCTTTTGGCTATCATCAATCTACTCCACCCTTCTCTTCTCATGTAAAAACATTTCTCTTGTGTTTATATTGCTAAATCTTGCCTCCGAGTCTATTTGCTGATCACTTCACTTGCTCTTTCTGGACATTTTCTTCCACTACTAAGCCTTCAGCTGCCAAAACTTAGTTGGAAAAATCTCAGTCAACTCAATAATGGCCAGTTATCAGTGGACTTGGGGAGGGGCATGCATGCAGAGGGTGAAGGAAGGGAGGGATTGGGACAGGAGGAAGGAGAGAACCACAGGGGGGATACAAAGTGAATTAAGTGTAATTAAAAAGAATTAATATATATATATATATATATATATATATATATATATATATATATACATAAATTTAGAAAACTAAAACAACAAAAAAATTTCAGTCAATGCTCACATTTTGGCCTTACTTTCTAAGTATTTTTCTTTTCATAATGACTATCTCAATTCAGGAATGATTTAAAGTAACTTTTATTTAAAAAAACAAAAACAAAACAAAAAAAAAAAAAAAACAAAGGGACCATAGCTAGCTCTGGCAAAATAAAAGAAAGGGAGAAAAGGTATTTACTGGAAGTAATTCAGCAATCCTAAAGGGTGGGGAATGGTTAGACAAAGAAACCAAAATCCAAAGAGAAAGTGAGAAAATATCCATTTTATGTCTCTGACTAGATCCCTTTCCAGCTCTTTGCATCTGCTTAGGCCTTCTTTTATACTGATGACTTCTTTTCTTTCTAATTCAGGGGTCTCCAAGTTTAAAAATCCCTGGGTTCAGGTATTCAAAAAACGTCTATTTTGTTTTCTCTGTTCCACTAAAATAACCTAAAACAATGATTTTGAATAGCATATCCTAAAAAGAAGTTATACCCTAATATATCTACTCTAGATGCAGAAAGAATTAATTAGGAAAAAAAAGTGACAACTTCTTCAAGCCCATGTGCAGTAAAAAAAGGCATGTTTCAAGAGCAGGAAATGGTAAAGAAATAAGATTCACTTGAATAGACTAATAAATTCCCATTTCACTATCCTAGACATATGGCACATAAACCTAGGCACCAAACTTAACTGTTGTGCACTGACCCAGCCCTCCCTCCTGGAAGAAGGGGAGAAAAAAACCCAATCCACTTCTCTTCAGGAATGGAAAGATCCTGCCCTGTTCGAGGTGGAGATTCCTGCATTCACCCACCAATATACCAGCATTAGAAATTTCTAGTCTGTCAGCTAAACGCTGAATGGCCTAATGATTCTGTCTTTCCCAACCTATTGACACTGCCTTCCTCTCGTCAAAACAACCTCCGAGGTGGTCCCTTCAAATTCATCATTTGTTTTTTCCAACATCTGCCCAGCAATTTTTTTTTTTATCACATCCTTTTTATTTACAAGCCCTCACAACACAATTAAACAGATGGGTGAGCTTCATGTAGTCCCTCTTGATCCAAAGATCACCACCACCTCCATAGGCAGCTATCTTTTTTCAGGAGTCTGAAATACAGTGTTTACATAGCAGCCTGGGCTTCTGTTTATGTCCATTTCTAGACTTAAGATAACTTATTCCCTTGCTTACCTAACAAAATCTTCCACAATCTTCTAGGGTTTACTTTTGCAACCCAGTTCAGTCACCGTCCTCTCATGAAGCCTCCCTTAATACATTATACAACAACGAACGCTGTCTTCCCAGCCTCTCCTTACCTTCAAATCACACCTTCAGAACCTATAGGCTCTTCTGTGCTTGCTGTTGTCTGCGTAGTACAGTGGCTCTCTTCTGCAAGCTCTCCTTCCTTTAGAGCTTCAGAAAGAGTCCGCATGAAAAACATGAGTATTTTTACTGTTGATCATAGATTTCTAAAGCATTTTTAAATTGTGAGGAACCTAATTCATTCAATTTAAAAATCGTCAAGCTTTCTCTCTGTAGCCACTTTTGAAATAGTGGGACCCCCACAAGTGTTCTTCGTTAGGCTGAGAATGATATACAACCACACAACATGATTACAAGTCAGGTAATGAGAGACCAAAAAGATTAAAAATTAGCAGCTATTGTTAAGGCCTGAACTATGTTGGTGGAGAAGTCTAGTAATGCCCTGAGGGGAAGGACCGCCTTACTGCATTCTTTCCCCACCCACTAGAGATAACAGTTGCTAGGAAACTGGCCCATCCCCCTAGGGAGGGACACCAGGTCATTATTGTCTGGGGAACTTCCTATATCCAATCAATTCAAAATTTAGCATTTTGACCAATAGATGCTTGCTAGGCAGGAATCGCCCCTAACTTGGACATGCTGGGAGGGACCAGAATCTTTAAATCACCCAACTAACCTGGGCACAGCGCGCTCAGCTTTCACCGCTTCTGAGGGAGGTGGGTGTTGTGGCTCCAAGCTTCAGCTTGTAATTTACAATAAAAAGACCCTCATGTGTTTTGCAACGGAGTCGACTCCTGTAGATCTTTTGGGGGCTCGCGAACTGGGTGTAACAGTAACAAATACTAGATTCTCAAGAAAATGCTTCAGGAGAAAGGAAAAAAAAAAAAGGATTAACTATAGTAGGTTAATGAGCATTACAGCTGAGATACACAAAGCAAAGTGTACGTAGCTTTAAAGCATGCAAAAGGTCATTTAAACGAACACTGCTTTTTCTTAATTCTGAATAAATATGGTACATAGTGTACAATATTCTGTCCTCTAACTTCTAAATTATTTTTGTTCATTTAAAGCCCCAGTCATGATTTATGATGCCTATAAAAACCAAACCTAGACACACATTCTCAAACACACTCATATACACAAGGCTGCAAGTGTTATATCATTTCCTTGGCTTAGCTTTGAGCTTTACACATTGGATTAAAGGTAAAGATTAACATGTGGTAAAGTGAGGGTTTACCAAGGCTTGGAGTGGGTATCAGAATGCCTGTATAAGGCCCCAACTCAAATACCAAACCAAGACAAAGGGCTTGTTCTGCACCCCTCTTAGAACTCTGTCATCCTGTATTTAAGAGCAGTCCTCTCCACTCTACGTTACCTGGCTCCGTGACTTTCTTTGGTTGCTCACCACTATGCCTGTGTTCCCAGGCAGTCCCCTCCTCCCCCTACCTCCCCCCTGCCCCCGCCCTTTCCTTCTGGTCCAGGCTACAATTCATGGTGCCAGCAGCAAGCTCTTCTACTCCTTTTTCAAGTCCCTTGTGGGCAAAGACCTGGTTGTGGAACCCAAGAATGACCTGAGCATCTGTGGAACCCTTCACTCTGTGGACCAGTACCTCAATATCAAACTAACTGACATCAGTGTCCCAGACCCTGAGAAATATCCTCATGTGTTATCAGTCACAAACTGCTTCATCAGGAGCTCATTTGTCCGCTATGTACAGCGGCCAGCAAATGAGGTGGACACAGAGCTGCTACGGGATGCAGGAAGAAAGGAAACCCTTCATCAGAAATAGTGCTGGCGCCTCTTCCCCTCCCCCTCCCCCTACTTTTTCATTGGTGACCCATAACTTGATGTCCAACTGAGGCAGGACACCCCTGCCCAATACTTAAGGTGTATTTTGTTTTGTTAATGATAATCTTTTAATCGAATGGATGAGAGAGATAATTAATTCTTTAGTTGAGAAAGGAGGGCAAGAAAGCCGGAACTGCCGAATATTTCTGAACTGCTTCCAGTCTGTACCTTTCTCTCACCTTCCGTGGAGATAGTGGGAGCATCCCAGGCCTTCCAAGAGAGACATGTGTTACTTTAGGGGCATGGAAAGAATCTGTGTTGCATTGGGAATAAAATTTATGGTGCAAACTAATAAATACATAAATAGATTAATTAATTAATTAATATGAGCCAACTTTAATGGAAAACCTTGCAGAAGAGTGCAGCCACGAAACCCATTATCAATTAAGATAGGAATAAAACTGTAATAAGCAGTCAGGGAATTTGAGAGAATGAAGCCCACGAACTGCTGAAGTATAGCTTTCCCCATTCCATCACCTCATCTATTGTTTCCTCATTAAGCATTGGCCTTGCCTACACAGTAGGATATGACCAGGGCTCAGGCCTGTTGCAAGAGCTCTTGCTTTGCAGCCTTGGTTGCAGCTCTCTGAATGAACACATTATGTGATTCCAACGGAAACACTAGACCTTTGTTGTGAGGCCTTTTTCCTAGTTATATGTTGACCTTCTGGCTCACAAGATTTTGTATTTGGAGGCATAGACTTTTATGGCTATGATGGTGACCTGCCCTGAGGATGGGATTGCAGCTCTTATGACATTTGTTCTTCTTTCATGTGAGGACACAGCAATAAGACTCCATCTGTGAACCAGACACTCAAACCAATGAAGCTTTAATGTTAGAGTTCCAAGACTCCAGAAAAGTGAGAAATAAATGCCTGAAATTTAGCACCTTCAAAGTAGATGAAAATGTCAATAAACTCTACAGAAGAATCTGTTTTTAACTGATTTGATTCACCTAGTAAAAATGTTTCAGAGAATGGCATGTTTACATTTACCATACAAAACGCAAGTGAGATGTTATATTTGGAAATTTTTCAAATTTTACTTTTAAAATATTAATTTTAAGAAGTCAAAATTAGCTCCAAAATATATAACTACAATGGATTAATTTTACCGTCAAATAGTTGGAATTTCTTATTCAAATTTCCCAAAGTTGTGCTCTATTACTTTCAGCTATATTAATTTCAAAATGCATTTTCAGTTCATACATAATAGATGAGTGACTAATAAGAAACAGATATATTCCTAAGTGCTTTCATTCTTGACTATTCATGACATCTATTTTTTATTCATCTGGTAGGGTAAAGAGCTCTAGGGAACAAGACAACCTTTTCATTCATGACCAATAGAAGATGTACTTTACAAGAATAATCTCACTATAGATTAGAAGACTACCTGACATCTATATCTATATCTATATCTATATCTATATCTATATCTATATCTA